AAAGGAATAAGGTTCAAATTGGCCACTGGACGTAACCTGAAAATGCAATTAGGCCACTGAACGAAAAAAAAGTGCAATTAGGCCACTGAACACTCCAAAAATGTGCAATTTCACCTGATAGCAGGTTACCCTCAATTTTAGCAGGTTATCTGCTTACGTGGCAGCTGAGTTGGCATTTTAAATAAATTTTAATTAATTTTTAATAAATTTTAATAATAACTTTTTATTAAAAAAATTTTAAAAAAAATAAAAACGACTTTATTTTATTTTTTATTTAATTTTTTCCAATTTTTTATAAAATTTATTATTAAAATTAATTATTAAAAATTATTAAAAATGTCAACTAAGCTGCCACGTAAGCAGGTAACCTGCTAAAATTGATGGTAACCTGCTATCCGGTAAAATTGCATACGTTTGGAGAGTTCAGTGGCCTAATTGCACATTTTTTGAGTGTTCAATGGCCTAATTGTACTTTTTTTTCGTTCAGTGGCCTAATTGCATTTTCAGGTTACGTTCAGTGGCCAATTTGAACCTTATTCCTTATATAAATAAATTCTCGTCAATCAAGCTACGTAACACTAAACTACTCCTTAGATCAAATTACCGACTACATCATCCAACCCAAACACAAACGCACACAAAAACCTCTTTGAGGAAGAGATTCATTCCACTCTCCAAATACCAAATAGGGGGGGCCGGGGTTAGGTATAGTGCAAGCTGTACATACACACAATATGGTTTTCTGAAAAGGAAGAAATCATCAAATCAAAGTTTTCTATATATAGTATGCAAAGCCATAGTGGTATCACTATGGACCGGTGGTCCAAAAGTGCACCTTTATTGCGTCCCATCCCCAAAGATTCATGCAGATTAAGACAGCTATCAATAAAGCTGTTTGTAAAAATACCAAAACATCCCTAAAAAGGGACAACCAAATAATCAGAACATAATTATCGTACTAAAAAGGCACATAAATTTTTTTAATGTGATTTATTTCTTCTAAGTAGTTAATGAGTTTAATCAGTGCATACTTTCGAGTAGTGACTATGGCTCTGTTTGGCAACGCTAAGCTAGGAGCTTATAGCTTATTTTAAGCTACTAATAAGCTATAAGCTCTGTTTGGTAATGTTCCCAAAATAAGCTCCTAGCTTAAAATAAGAGCTTATTTTAGAACGCTACTTTAGGTAGCTTTTCAAAATAAGCTACTAGCTTCCTAACTTTTTTTCCATCTTTACCCTTATTATTTTAAAGTAATGACATATTTTAACCTTATGAATTAAAACCCTTTCTCTTCCCCTATCCTAACTTTCACGTCAATCCTTTCCTTAGTCTTGTTTCCTGCTAAACAATTATGTTGAAACTTTAGCTTATTATTATTATTATTATTACTATTATTATTAATGTTATTTTTAAATTAGCAATATGGCTTCAATCTCAATTTGAACAAGAGCCGCTAACTAATGCTCAAGAAGCATTCAATCGTGCACATTATTCTCTTCGGAGTTGTATTGAGAGATCGTTTGAAGTATTGAATAAGAGATAGAAGATACTTGCTAAAATGCTGCAGTTTAGTGAGGAGACCCAAATTGATGTTATTATGGCCACATTTGCACTACATAATTATATTCGGAAGAATTCACAAGATGACATGATGTTTAATGTGCTTGAGCAGCATCCAGATTACATACCGCCCGATGAACTTCAAGATTCAAGTAGTAATATCTCCATCAACGAAAATTTAAGTCACACCTCTATGGAGATGAAGGAGATTCGCAACAATATTGCTACTTCATTATGCGATGCTAGATCATGATCATGCTAATAGTTTTATTTTAAAAAGTGTTTACTTTTTTTGGAAGACGAAATGTTAAATTTTAATATGTAAACAAACTAATTTAAATTTTATGAAGATGTCTTTTTTAGTCTTTTTACATTTATCAGCTTATCAAAAAGCTAATTTTACCAAACACTTTCAATCATAACAGCTAGCTTAACAGCTCTTCAATTTTCAGCTCCGAGCTTATAGCTTTTCAGCTTTCAGCTCCTTTTCAGCTATCAGCTCCTAGCTTATAGCTTTTCAGCTAGGTTTGCCAAACAGAGCCTATGATTTCCTTGTCACCAGAAAAAAAAAACAAAACAAAACAAAAACAAAATCATACATCTCATCTTGTACTTTTTTTTTTTTTTTTTCTGATTTTGCTTACTAATAATTGGTGTGTGCTCCATTTCGTATAAGTTGAGACTTGTAATAATTGGCACATCTATACCTTACTAGGCCATCTTTGCATATTAACACATTTTTAGACATTTCTTTAAATACGTACTAGTCGATTTATAAATTCTTTATCCGGACAAACTTAGTATAATCGTACCAAATTAAATAGAGCAATTAAAGTTATAAAAATAGACAACCCATATATGAATTTGCAGAAATACTGTTGGGAGATCAGAACTGCCCCAATTGAAATTTAGCCAATCAAAACTCGATTAGATTGATCGCATTTTGCAAAGTGTAGATACCAATATAGTGTGCGCGCAAAATAAGTTATTGGTATAGCACTCAAATTGAACCTTTGCAAATTGAGAGAATAGAACAAAGGATCGGAATTTACTTTGTATGTTAATGATAAGTTTATATAGGTATAGTTTTGGTATAATTGTATAGTTGGTCAAGTCAATTTTTATACAAGTAGAAAGTAACAAAATGTGTGAGTTATCGGTTCAAATTGAATGCAGTTTACCAAAAATCAATTATTAATGGGTAGTTCATTTTAATGTGATCTAATACAAAATTAATAAACTTGGTTAAACGTACTATCAGAGGTGTATAAATGAGTTATAATATAAGCTTTTGTATTTTACTTTTGTTGGCAATTAAATTTAAAATAAATATAATGGTATAAGAATAGAGCCATTAGGGTTATGAAAATGGACCACCATTATAGTAGTTAACCACTTAACCTACACTTGCCCAAATACACAGAAGAAAACAAGATAACTCACGTTATATGTGCATTACGACTTTGATTAATATAGTTAAGTAGATTTGTGCAAGTTAGGTTGTCAAGTCGAAAGTATAATAGTGTGACTTATTATATGTTTAAATTTAACTTAATCAATTGCCAGCATCTTCAAAAATAGTCTAACGTATCATTCATAATCAAGTGTGAACTAATCTTAACGTGCGAACTTGCAAATTAAACTATTGAAAGCTTGCATCACAATTACTACATGATTGCACTGCAACAGCTCCCAAACATGGCTGGAGGACCTTTGCAATGCAATCGCATTCGGTGCAGTGCAATCATATAGTAGATGCGGTGCAATCCTTTAGTAGTTCGCAAGTTAAGGTCAGTTCGCACTTGATTATGGACCGTTAACACATTACTCTGAAAATGATGGCCGAGTAGATGGAGTATGATTCTGACCATATTTGAAGGTCACATGTTCGATTCTTGTCAATATCCCCTTGGGCCCTTGGTTGATTCTTTTGTACGAAATCTTCCTAGTGTGATTTATCTTCTAATGTACACCCTCTATTAATGGTTGCGGAATTGCGGATCTTCCTAGTTATTGTGGTGAATATGGTAAATAATGCATATATTTAGCGTAAGTTTTTTGTAACCAAAGCTTCCAAATTTAGGGTTTAAAAAAAGAGTGAACCATATGACAATTGACAAGTTTATAATTGCTAATTCAATATGTTATAACTAAACCAAGCCAAAAGCCTTGTGGTCGAACGACATAGCTGTAGCCCTTCAAGTGATAAGTTTTAGGTTCAAATTTCATTGTCTCTTTGTGCTTCAGATAGAGAATGGATATTATAGGTTTAAACCCCAACCCCCAACAGAGTCAATGATAAAAACAATTTTAACTTTTCGAAACAAGTCAGTAAATTTTTAAATGGCGATAAAACACTATTTCCTGGGAATGAAAGCCGTCTTTCGGATAATTTCACGAAGCTTTGTCCTTATCCGCCTACAAATCTTATCGGCCATTAACATAGACATCCGCTAATTGCTAAACCGATGAAAATTTCGCCATCATTAAGCAGAAACCATGACATTACTTGTTCAAACAAAAATACAAAAACAAAGCAATTGGTACGGCCATGTACTATGGGTAACCTCAAATCTATAATTAGAATTATTAATTTATACAAAGTTTGGAGTAATATTTATTTTTAAAAATATCTTGTCCAACCATAATTAAAATATCTTCTCTAGTTCTAAAAGAGACAAGAGTATCACTAAATTGTCCACAAAAATTAAAATTTCCTGGCTACCCAGGCTCACCTCCGCCCAATAATAGATGAGTAAATCATGATGACTCAACAATCTATTGGGTGAGAGGATCATCGTCTTTCGATATCAGGGCCCACACATCGATAGTGTGGGAAAATCAGTGTTTGATACACACAAATAGTTCACCACATTAGGTGAAACTCTCACATAATAGATGAGTAAATCACGGTGGCTCAACAACTCATTGTGTGGGATGATCATTGTCTTTCGCTATCCGGGCCCACACATCCACCCCAATAGTGTGAGAAGACCAGTGTTTGATACACACAAGTAGTCCACCACATTAGATGAAACTATCACACTGTGACTGTCAATTCTCGATTAGAGTATGAAATTCTCATGATGCGACTTTCAGGGCTAGATTAAGTTTGGAACTACCATCAGAGGACAAACTCTTGTATATATGTATTATGTAAAAATTTTGGGTTAAACTTTTTTAAAAGTAATAATTAAACTAGTGTTTCGAGTTGAATCTAGATTAATCTTACAATAATAAACTTATCGAATATTGTATGAAACATAATTTAAAAGTGTTGGAAAATGGTATTTTGGGGGTTTAAATATACATATTAATCTTAAAGTATGCATTTTTTAAATATCTTACTTTGTAACATTTAAACGTATTGGATAAGCATATGCTAAATGCCTAAATGGACTGAGATTATGAAATTTAGGATTGGACATTTGCTAAAAGATAGTGTTTTTAGGGGGTGGTAGGAGGAAGGAACTAGGAAGGAGCATTGAATGCATTCTGCAACTTCTTTGACCACACACAATTGCCTGCTCACTTCCTACATTCCCTCCTACATCTATCTTCCATTCTTTATATTTGCCCCTTTGAATCCCCGCCCAGAAAGACTCAATCTTCCACTTAGGTCTTCACACATGTCACCACCAACAAGCTCAGTCATGAACCCAACACCTTCCCCAGAATGTAGAGGACAAGGGGTGCCTTCCAAACGGGTATTACTCAGAAAGTTGTGATTTTTACTTCCCAAGAATGTCTTTTTGCTTTCAGTTCTAATGGCCTCTGTGAGAAAGCAGAGGGCAGTGTTTGGTTTAGGTTTAGGTTGTTTCTTGCCCAATGTTTTGTAAGGATTGTGCATTTTGTCAGTTCTTTGCTTGGAGCTTAATGGGTCAATGGATATGAAGTAACTTGATGCTATTTCTTATTCCTTTTCATTTTCTTGGTTTTAAAAAAAAATTCCTTTTTGGTTAAGGTTTTGACATAGAATGAAGTAATGGGTAGGAGAGTTTTAATTATAGCTTTGGGAAATTAGTGAAAATGGAGACTTTCTTTCATTCTTACAAGTTTAGTTCTGGTTGGTTTAAGTTTGGAGTTGAAATGGAACAAATTGAAGCCCAGAAGTTGTAGGTGTCTGAAGAATGAAGCATATTTTATTGGGCTCAATTCTCTTTGATCATTCATATGAAACAGAATATGTTATTAGATCTCCTTATTTTCAATTGGAAACGAGTATTTGAAATCGTGTCTATGGCCATTGAAGTTTTGGCTTCATAATTCAAGATAGACTTTTTAATACTTCATATTTGTATATAAAGAAAGGGTGGTGGAGGATATCAACAATCTATGAATTTAGTCATGAAAACGAAATTATGTAGCGGGGCAAGGAGTTCTGTATTATGAGGGCAAGCTGTGTTATTTTGTTATTTCTTTTTCTATTTAAGAATTTTCTGAAATCGTTTTGCTTTCTTGGAACCAGAATCCGAACAAGGTACCTTGTTCAACCGTTCTCACCTTGGCTTATCAGAGTCTCGGAGTAGTTTATGGCGACCTGAGTACTTCTCCTCTTTATGTATATAAGACCATCTTTTCCGGAAAGCTAAACCTTAAGGAGGATGATGAAGAAATATACGGGGTGCTTTCCTTCATCTTCTGGACATTTACGATAATCGCGCTATTCAAATATATTTTCATCGTTTTGTCAGCTGATGATAACGGGGAAGGTATACTTCTGTAGTTCCACAAAATTTGAACTTTTTCTTGTATGGTTTCTATTCTTGATTTCTTGTTCACTGCTCCCCTCGCTCCCTAACTTTCTTTTTTCTAGTTGGTACACAACCGAGATTCAACAAGTACATAAATGTTTGTAAGACTAGAAGAGTACTAGGTTTATGTTTTAAATTACATGTGAAAATTACAGATACTGCATTGTAACAGAGTCAGTAGTACTCAAAAGAATTACATGTGACAATTTTTTAAAATATTTTCACCTTATAGAATCCACGGTTGATTGTTGGTTCGTTTGAAGTCCAGGTGGCACTTTTGCGCTGTACTCCTTACTGTGCAGGCATGCGAGGCTCAGCATGCTTCCCAATCAACAAGAAACGGATCAGAAGTTGTCTGCATATGCCATACAAGGATCGGAGGACACTAGGCAAACTGCGGCTTTGAAGTCTTTCTTCGAAAGATATCCGAGCTTTCGTAATGGACTTCTGATCTTTGTTTTGCTGGGAACTTGCATGGCTATAGGTGATAGTATATTTACCCCGACCATTTCAGGTAGCTATATATATCATCGTTAAACTATATGTATCCTTATTTGCGGGATTAGAGCTTAATTATTCATGTGTTTCTGTTTTCAGTTCTTTCAGCTGTTTCAGGCGTGCAAGTTAAGCTAAAAGGGCTTCACGAGAGTGAGTTATAGTTAGATTTTGTATCTCTATGTTTCATTCTAGTTTTGTTCTTCGTTTTTGTTTTGTTGTAATTCTGCCTTCTGCTTATTTTTCAGATTATATTGTTGTGATTTCATGTATCATTCTTGTCGCGCTCTTCTCCATTCAGCATCACGGGACACATAGAGTCGCTTTTATGTTTGCCCCGATTGTCATGGCGTGGCTACTCTCGATTAGCAGCATTGGAGTATATAACATAGTTAAGTGGAACCCGCATATATATCAGGCGCTTTCTCCATTCTACATGTTGAGGTTTCTTAAAGTAACGGGTCGGGAAGGTTGGGTCTCCTTAGGTGGAATAGTGCTCTCAATAACAGGTGTGGAGACGATGTTTGCTGATTTGGGTCATTTTTCCACATTGTCGGTCAAGGTAAACTCCAACCCGTTACTAGAATGTCGGAAAATTGTAAGACAACCATGATTTTCATTAGCTTTTGATGTTTGTGACACCCAGATTGCGTTCACATCTTTCGTGTATCCCTGTTTGATGCTCGCATATTTGGGCGAGGCTGCATTTCTCTCTAGACACCACGAGGATATCCAAAGAAGTTTCTACAAAGCCATACCGGGTAAGAGACAATCCATTCTCTTAGGTGATCGAGGCCTACCTTTGGTAATTCTATAAATAAATGTTTACGAAAAAAATTTCTACGCAGAGGCCATATTCTGGCCAGTGTTTTTAGTGGCCACTTTGGCAGCTGTTGTAGGAAGTCAGGCTGTAATATCGGCTACTTTCTCAATCATAAGCCAGTGTTCTGCACTGCATTGCTTTCCCCGTGTGAAGATAGTACATACTTCCAGCAAGATATACGGGCAAATTTACATCCCGGAAATCAACTGGATATTGCTGTGCCTCTGTTTAGCTGTTACTATCGGATTAAGGGACACGAACAAGATTGGAGCTGCTTATGGTATAGCTCTAAGCCATTGTTTAGCTTATTAAATTGCTACACATGCAAATTTTTATTTTTTTTTAATGCAAATTGCTTCCCGAGGCTTTTGTAGGCTTGACGGTCACAACTGTTATGTTCGTGACAACTTGCTTGATGGCAATGGTGATGGTGGTCGTGTGGAAGAAGAAGATACTAACAGCCGCTGCTTTTGTTGCATTCTTTGGATCAGTGGAACTCCTCTATCTGTCAGCAGCGATGTATAAGATTCGAGAAGGAGCTTGGATACCCCTTAGTCTGTCAATTATCTTTATGGGCATAATGTTTATATGGAACTACGGAACTCTGAAGAAACATCAATTCGATCTGGAGAACAAGGTCTCGATGGAAAGAATTTTAGCGCTGGGGCCTGGCCTTGGGATAGTTCGAGTCCCTGGAATCGGACTTATTTACACCAATCTGGTCACAGGCATTCCAGCCATTTTTGGACACTTTGTTACCAACTTGCCTGCTTTTCATGAAGTCCTTGTTTTTGTCTGTGTGAAATCTGTTCAGGTGCCATACATTAGCGAAGAAGAGAGATTCTTGATATGCAGAGTCGGTCCTAAGGAGTACAGTATGTTCAGGTGCATTGTCCGATATGGATACAAAAACGCCCAGCAAGAAGACTACGATTTCGAAGCGCGACTAGTTTCTGCAATCGTACAATTTGTTGAAACAGAAGACCAAACAAAGCCTGGGAACTCAGATGGTCTGGTTCTTGATGCCCCGGAGTACAGATTCTCCAACCTTAGTTACACAGCACAGTCTACACATGACATCCGGGTGATAATATCAGGGGAGAGGAATGCAGAAACCTGCACTGGTGTTAAAGACGAATCCCGGGATATAATGAGGGCGAGGGAGTCGGGAGTTGCGTATATCTTTGGGCATTCTTATGCCAAAGCAAAGAAATCATCTTCCATCATCAAGAAATTCGCCATCAACATAGTTTATGCTTTCCTGAGCAAGAACTCTCGAGGACCCGATGTGGTTCTGAATGTCCCTCACACTTCTTTACTGGAAGTAGGTATGATATATTATGTCTGAGTTACATTACAGGGTAAAATGTCACAGGGAACCTGCAAGAGTAGAAGAAATGCTGACCTTCAACAAGTTGATTGCCTTATTAGGCATGTTTGGTTCATATATGTTTTGAGATTTTATAGTTTGATAAGTAGAATCCCCTGAGGTTCATGTAAATGTAGGTAGAATTGTAGATACATGACAAGAGAATTACAGATAAAAATCCAAGCAACCCTGTGATAAGTCCATAGAGTATAGGACACTGATGTATTATAAACTTTGTATATACTTAGTTCTTTTCCTCTCCATTTTACCTGTCAAGGAGTGTTAATTAGGCCAAATGCACTCAAATCAAATCCCAAAATTTCATAATCAATACAATTTGGTCTATGAGGGATTAGGTATCAGAAATGTGATAACCCCAGCTCAAGTTATAACAACAATAATTCAATGATAACTATGAGAAACGTACAAGACAGGTTGCAAAACAAGTAAATATGACCATGATATCGCATGTGAAAGAACAATGAAATGCAGGACAGAGGCCAATGAACACTAGTGTTATATTACATGGCCGGAATTTAAATCTAAATTGTCATGCAAAACTTCATTTGCATCACAATTATCATAAAGAAAGAGTAACACAATAACATTAAATGGATTCTTGACAAAATAGAAGCTCGCATCACAGGACACGGGCATGCAACAAGGTATGGTAAGTACTATGATGGGAATGCTGCTAAATCACACATGAACATAACCCCAGGTATTACTTCCAAAAGCAGGAGAGAATTGTCAATTTTCAAGCATTGAATTAAAGTTCTAACAATAGGGACTCAAAAACAATCATGTAAATGTTAAATAACAAATGCTATTCAAATTGCACAACCACAGTCAAGTAAATGTTTCAACAAATGCTATTCAGACCAAGCAACAGTGTTCAATAATGGGGTAAATCACATTATTATTATCCTCAATAGAAGATATACATCAATCATCAATCAATAAACTAATAGCCAAGCATATCAAACAGAAACACTTCAAACTGGAACTACATGAGATCAGGGCTCATGATTAGGATCACTCTTCAGCTCACAGTATTCATCCACACTAAAAGGGAACTGTTAACTGCTTCAATTTCTACACAAACTCTTACAGCAAAAGAATTATGAAGAATAAGTGTACCTGTCAGCCCTGCAGCAGAAACCTACTGAGTATCATATCTTATGAAAAACACAGGATAATATAAAAGCACATTTAAGCCAAAAACAATATTTAAAACGAATCAAGAGGCACATATGGCGGAAATAGTATTTAATATAGAAAACCGGTACCAAAATCTCAGATAAACCGATGCAAAACTACGTCGGGATTACATCTCGAAAACGTCACTGACATATTTCAAAAACAAAACTAAAAAAAAGGAAAGGCCATTAATCGAAAGTCTAAAGCTGAAGCAAAACAACTCTTCCACTCTACTTCGATCTCTGCCTCATCTTTCTGCGCTTCCTCTTCAACCTTCTCATACGCTTCTTCTTCCACTGCAAATTTTCGTTTTCGTTAGAACAATTCAATAATTAAAAAAACACGCAATTTTCAGATCAAACAGCAAACAAACGAAAATATACCTTAGCTCTCATCCTGAAGGTGTAATGCTCGTGAAAGTTGAACTCTCTGCTTCAGTCGACGAAAATGATGCGGCAATAGACGTCTCTAGGGTGGAGGAAAGCGAGGGGATGGGGATTTATAAGGGAAACCCTAGTTGCGAATTCGTTCACGATGAGTTTGTTTAACTGGGCCCATTTTGGATTTAGTCATTAACAGGCTTAGACCACTCTTTAAATATGGCCCGTTTTATAATAATAAGCTTTGTCCTTGTTGGGCCTGCAGCCCAGCTTAGACCACAAACAAAGCAATCATTATACCGTGCACCACGGCGCACATAGCAATGTGCGTTCCGTGCCTCCCAAATAATGTCGTTTTATTAAGTTGTGTGAGAAATTAATGCATTTATAAAATTCTGTGCATTCTGTTATAAAATTTTGTACATTTTGTTATAAAATTTTGTACTTTCTGTTATATAATTCTGTACATTCTATTATATAATTTTGTACATTCGAAACATGAGAATTTTTTTTAATGTGTATTATGTTAAGAGTTTATGTGTATTATGTATTATGTTTTTTTTTTTAACATGTATTATGTTATATTATGTGTATTATCCTTTTAAAAAAGATTATGTATATTATGTTATAAAATTCAGTACATTCTATTATACAATTCTGTGCATTCTATTATACAATTCTATACATTCGAAACATGAGAATTTTTTAATTTTTTGTAAGAAGTTAACAGCAGACACGCAAAATGTACAAAACGACGCCGTTTGGGGCAGGGCGCAGAATGCATTGTGCACCCTAGTGCATGATATAATTTACGCAAACAAAGATGGAGGACTCAAGCATTATACTATATACTAGATCTACATTACAATATAGACCACTTATATACATGTTATTTTTGCATTCAAAAAAAAAAATATACATGTTATTTTTAATATAATTAATTTTATTTGTTGTCATAGATTTGTAAGCGATAGTCCACTTTTAATTCTATTTTTATTAAAAAAATTGTTTAATTCGAATTTAGTCAAATTAAGTATATTATAACTCACCAGGACTATGTGGTCCAATGGTATCCGGGTTGGACTTCCATTTGGAAGATTATAAGTTCGAGCCTCAGTGGAGGCGTTATTGGTTCTTTGTGTTTCAGTAGGTTGAGAAAGTATATGAACAGATACTACAATGTAATAGAGCCAGTAACTTTCAAAAAAAAAAAAGTATATTATAACTCAAACTAATCCTCATTCATACTGGGCCGACCCAAATACATTTAGAAATAACAATCATTATTGTGTGGACCATATTTTGTCTACTGTAAAATAATGTACATTCAGTACAAAAATAATGTACATTCAATACAAAAATAATATACATTATATTCATGGGATATACATTATTTTTGTTATGAGTATACATTATATTGTATAATGTACATTCAGTACAGAAATAATGTACATTTAGTATATTAAAAATGTAATTTTTGTTATGGTGCATATAACATTGTGTGGACCATGGTCCACACAATAATTTGTCATTGTGTGGACCTTAGCCCACTCATATGCGTAAATTGTGGTCTAAAAACACATAAAATACATTTTCATCTTATCCTATAAATTTCGTTACTCTAACACATAAAGCACATTATACATTATTCTAGCTTATATTCTACATGTATTATCATATATTTTACTATTTATGACGTGACATGCTTTGATTGCTTAATATAATGTGGGTCATTATTTTTATCTATTTGTTTTTCCAATAAAATGTGAACACTTAGTGAGAATAAAAGTTAAAAATAAGGGTCAAATAGGCCATCGAACTGCACAAGATAATGCAATTAGGCCACTGAACCTAAAAAATCAACAATCAGGTCCCTAAACTAACCAATTTTAAACAAATCTTCCAATTTGTAGGTTTCCAACAGGTTAACAGGTCATCCTCCCAAATTAATTATTTTTTAAAAAATAAAATTTAAAAATTAATTATTTAAGTAATAAAAAAAAAAAAACATCTCCGGCCAGTTTCTTCGTCTCCACGGTCGGAGACGACGTCGTCTCCGGCCATGGAGACGAAGAGAACTCTTCGTCTTCGGCCGTGGAGACGAAGAAACAGGCCGGAGACGAAGAAGTTTCTTCGTCTCCGGCCGTTTCTGTTTTTTTTTTTTTTTAAATAATTAATTTTTAAATTGTATTTTTTAAAAAATAATTAATTTGGTTGTTGACCTGTTAGAAACCTTCAAATTGGATGAATTGTTAGGAATTGGTTAGTTTAGGGACTCAATTGTTGGTTTTTTGGGTTCAGTGGCCTAATTGTATTATTATGTGCAATTCGATGGCCTATTTGACCCTTATTCCCAAAAGTTAAGAGTAGGTTTTTGAAATCCAAGTAATATTTTTGATTGCGAATGTTTTATCGATCGAACTTGTCACACATGATTTTCTTAATGTATTTAGTGTATTGTTAAAAAAATAATATTTACTCAGTATATACTTTTGATAAGTAAAATATTACATGAGCTTTGACTTTTTACTTCCTCTCACAAATTTTTGATGTAAACACTTTTCCTAGAACTCACATGATCAAAATATCTTATCCTTAATTGTTATATGGAGTAAAAGTGACCGGAGTAAAATTTGATAGAGTATATATATATATATATATATATATATATATATATATATATATATATATATATATATATATATAATAGAACTCCTTTGTCATATGGTGTAAAAGTTGTCATATAGAGTAAAAATAATAGAGTAAAATTTGAGAGAGTACATATAATAATTTTTTTTTTTTTTTAATAATGATTACAATTTTTGTTTTCATAAAAAAATATTTCAAAAAAGTAGAAAAGGTGGACTGTTGGACGCGAAAGGTATACTCCATGTTGACCAAGGAAAACGATCGTGGTTTTCGGGGGATAATTCAGACTTTTACATGCACCCCTCTCGCCTTGCCAAATGCCAACCCAGCACGAAACTACGACTGCAATAGTCTTTCAACTTCCAAGCTCATACTGAAAACCGATCTCATTTCTCTACCAAATTTCCATCTGGTAAGTTCTCGAATGCTATATGGGGACTGGTTCATCGAAGAATGTAGCTAGCATCTCTGATGGCGGCGAGAACCGGGAAGACCAAGGCGGAAGCACGCTGTATGTCTCCCTCAAAATTGAAGATTTCAAGCTCAAGTTCAAAACCGATCTCATTCCCCACGTATTTGGTTCCGCGCCGCTCGCCGGCTCCTGGGACTCCTCTAAAGCCGTAATTCCTATTAACTTGTGTTTTGTTTACCTCACTGCACTTAGACATGCGCTTCATTATCCAGAATATTGAATTCATGTGTAATTTGTTATTAGCTTCCAATGGAGCTCGAATCAAACTCGACATGGCAATTACGCTTCGTTGTCCCGCCTAATCACGGTTAGTCTGCTGAAATTCATAAGCTAAAATGCTTAATTCTTCCAATTGATCCAGCTCATAAAATGATCGTGTTTGTTTGTTTTGATATAGAAACACTGGAGTTTAAGTTTCTGTTGAAACCTAAGTATGATAATGGGCCGTGTATCGTGGAGGAGGGTGCTAACCGAGTCCTCACTGGGGGGACATTGCAAGGGGACGAGCGGCTGGCGTTGTTTAAGTTGAATGAGGAGGAACTTATTGAGTATAAAGTGTATATTAAAGCGGATTTAGTTTCTCCATTTGATCTTGCAGCAAGTTGGAGAGCTTTTCATGAAAACCGCAAGCCTTCCACAGTTCGAGGGATACCGGATATTAGTATCAATTCAGGCACAGAGCTTGTACGATTTCAGTCCGAATTGCTAGTTTTTGTTTTTGCTTTTCCTAAGATTGTTGTTCATTAGAGAATTAACATTGCTCAATCAACTTTTTTTTTTTTTTTTTTTTTTTTAAATGAATTTGTATGCAGAGTGGATTTTCTGCAACTGTGGATCTTGATCTTGAGCATTATGTTGTTCCATCTCCAACAACATGTGCAAACTCTGGTCTGGTTTATGCAGCTAACCTAACAGAGACTCCAAGATCATTGAATGGTTATGGGGTATTTTCTGGCTCCGATGATTATAATACTAGAGCTATCCATATAAAAGTATACAGATGATCAACATAAAACAAAAGAAGATCGTTCTTTCTTGCTACCTTTGTTATGCTATAAAATACTTGAAATTGAATGTGGCCTTCTACTGAGATTAAGAGTTTTGGTTATTCTCTTATCTACTAATCTAGCATGTCTAGTGTTTCATGGTATAATGTATCACTGTATTATAAGTTTTCTTGCTATGGATATGAACAAAATCATAGTTGAAACATGATTACAACGAATTTTATAGCTCTAAACACATAAAGATGATTCGACTTTCCATAAAATTTCACATACATGTGTTTGATATGCATACTTTCCTGCTGGAGGATAGATTATGAACCTTCAATATCTTTTCATTTTCATTTCTTTTCAGTATCTTCCTCTAAAATAGACATAAAAATAGACATAAAGTAGGTGTTCAATAGCATTCTCTGTTAGTTCTAAATTCTACTATGATGACATTTATTTAGGAGATGGAAGTGGCTGTCCCAAATCCAACAAATGAGCCTTCAAGTTCTGCCATACTTGAGTCAAAGTCTGTTGGAACTTTATCTTTACAAAAGAATGATATCCACAAATGTATATCTGTGGATAGAGGTGTTGGGTCTCCCAGACTACTTAAATCACCCCGTACAACCACCTTCACTCTTGATCTCAATCTTAATTTAGAAACCAAGGTTTGTAGAAGTCCAATCTGTAAGCTGCAAGCTATTATGATTCTGCTGCATCTGATCTATCATCCATTGTTTATACTTAGAATCGAATGCCAGCTGCTGCTGGAGCTGTTGCAGCTGCTGCAATAGCAGATCAGATGCTTGGACCCAAGGAGGACAGACATTTGGCAATTGTCTTGGTAGGTTACTGATAAGTTGTCAACAGCATTTGATGATCTTTTTGGTTGTGGCTACATTAGATTGATAAGAGACATCTAGCTGTAGCTTTTCCATTGAATTACAGTATAATTTTCATAAAAGCAATGAAGAATGATCTTAAAATGTGCATGCTATGCAGGTTGGTTTGCCAGCTCGTGGCAAAACTTTTACTTCAGCTAAACTTACTAGGTATCTTCGTTGGTTAGGACATGATACCAAGAACTTCAACGTTGGGAAGGTTTTTGATGCTATCACAATTACTATTGTTCTTTTCAATTCCCTCTGCACTGATTAAAACAGGGAAGTGTTCACTCATTTTCTTTTTATTTTATTACAGTATCGGCGCCTTAAGCATGGAACTAATAAGGTATTTCATTTTTCTGCCAAGCATTTTGATGCTACAAATATTTGTTATGGATTGCCATTCTGCATTCTCATGTATCTTACCACATTTTGCTTTCAAGTAAGATTCCATACTGCATTTCACACAAATTTCTTGACAAGTTGTGCTGGCTGTGTTTGTTCCTTCTGCAAGCATCTGTGCATGAATATGCTATTTTCCTTCTGCAAATATCTGTATAATATGCTCTAGCCTGGTTTGATAATTGAGTATCTAGATTTGAGAACTGGATGATCAAATATGCTATGGAATTCTACTCCAAAAAATGCATGAAATGTAAAATTTAAACTATCATTATTGTTTACTTCTCTATTCACACTAAGGAACACAAAACTAAAAATAAAAAATAAAATCTATATTAGTTTCTTGAACTACTTTACCAATAGAAAACTTAAGTTCAAATTGGACAGATACTTCAGGGATTTCCCTTATCATTCCTATAATTTCGTTTATGCAGTGGGCTGATTTCTTTCGAGGTGACAATCCTGAAGGTCTGGAGGCACGAAATGAGGTAAATCATCATTGATGAGTGTGATGTTTATGGTTATCATGGATTATTTGTTTCTTCATCAGCCAGAGCATTTCAAGAATCAATTTCCATCACTTCCCCAAAACTCCACCCCTTGGAAAAGCTTAAAAACAAACTTTTTGCTTCAAGTAGCTTGCAAGTTGATGTGCATAGCTACCCATTTTGTGACAAATAGCTGAGATGTGTTACTCATCTAATGAACTCATATCCTTACTGTTCTATGTTAAAGCACTTCTGACCTCATCTAGCTGCCTATATAATAGTTTGGGTTATTTCATTATTTTTGGCAGGCACAATCTTTATTAAGGTTTTATGAGATTTAAATAATCTGTTTTTGCCACCAATTAAGTCTACTGCATTTTGCCTTAGTTTGTTGTAATTTTCCACAAGGATACTCTCACTTTTCTTTTCTTTTCTTTTTCCTTGCATAGTTGCATAGCATATATCTGGAGGAAAACAATGTATGGATTTTCAAAATTGCTGTTGGTGACCTCTTACTTGGATATATCATATATGATTTATTTTTCATGTCCATGGAAGATATGGAGTAGAATATCACTCTGTATTGACTAGGAGTAGCCCTCCTTCTGCCCTTTGTTTTTAGGACAAGTAAAATTCATCTTCTATCTGATTAGATATTACAAGTCATAGGAAAAGTAATCTTTCCATTCCTATTTGTCTTTGATATCCTCTGTTATTGATGCGAGCTATACATAAATTAATTAGCACCTCATACTTTGTTCACAACTTGTTAGTTATTAATAGCATATTCAATGATGCATGTTGGTATTCATAATAGGGATAAGGGTCAAATAAACCCTCCAACTATATACCAAAGTTCAATTAGAACCTTCAACTAAAAAAACATCCAATTAAACCCTTAAACTTGTTAAATTTGTTCAATTAAACCTATTTAACAAGTTACCAAAAGGCAACCGGTCAACTTTACTTACATGGCAGTTATGTGGAATCCTACTTGAAATTTTTTTTAAAAAATATTTTTAAACTAATTTTTTCTAAACTAGTAAAAAAAAAAAAAAAACTTTCCGACGCTGTTTGCCGTCAAGCTTCTTCGCATGGACAAAGAAGCCATGGCAGCCAAGCTTGGCTGCGATGTTTTTTTGTTTTTTTTTTTTTCGTTTTTGTTTTTTTAATTTAATTTTAATTTTTTATATAAATAATAATAATTATTATTAGTATTTTAATTTTTATAAAAATATATTTTTTTTAAAATGTTAATCTAAGTGGCATCTTACGTTGCAGGTGACAACTAGGTTAATTGCACAAATTAACAAGTTTAAGGGTCTAATTGGAGGTTTTTTTTTTTAGTTTGAGTGTCTGATTGCACTTTGGTATATAGTTGAAGGGTCTACTTGACCCTTATCCCTTCATAATATTATTATGTTGCGTTTCAATTGGTGCTCTATTAACCTTTCCTTTTTACATAGTTTAACTCATCCCACACTACTAGGTAGCTGCCCTTGCAATGGAAGATATGATAGCATGGATGCAAGAAGGTGGCCAGGTATGATTTTATATTCTAGCAGAAGAAGTATGCTTCTGGGGTATTAATAATAGCAATCCTAATTGTTGAAGGTTGGAGTATTTGATGCCACAAACAGCACTAGGCAAAGACGGAATATGCTTATGAAAATGGCTGAGGGAAGATGTAAGGTACAAATATAATTCAATATCATTCCAATTGCTAGTTATACTCATTGTAGCTTCCCGAGAGTAAAATTCTTCAATGGCAATAATCCATGGAGATGCCAAGTGGCTTATGCTGCAATAAGTAAGGTTCTGCTGAGTATGGAATTGGGGAGGTAATTGGTAGTTCCTTCTCAGAGCAGCAGTCCCTTTTGTTTTGGAATTGAGATTCTGCAGTGCAGCACTTGCTACTGATTCCTACCCTAATGCTACTGCATTTTTTTTTTTAATTTGTTTTATATGTGTGGACTAGGTCCAGAAGTATATATAATTTGTCACTTGCAACAATTAGGTACACGTTTAGTGGGTTGCAAGATAAAATTTTCAATAATCACCATGCAACATATCATTTCTGAAGTTGTACTCCTAATGGGTTTTTTGTACAATTAGGTAGATGTTTACTTGGCTTCCTGTTTTGTTTGACTTGTAGATTATTTTTTTGGAAACAATTTGCAACGATCCACAAATAATTGAAAGGAACATTCGCCTCAAAGTTCAACAAAGCCCAGACTATGCTGAAGAGTATTATTCCTACATGCATCTATTTCTTATTTCTGGGAACTATGAATATACTGTATTTGATACTCATCAAAAATAAAATATCATTTGGCATTGTTAACAGGCCTGATTTTGAAGCAGGGTATAGAGACTTCAAAAACCGTTTGGCTAATTACGAGAAAGTAATTTTCTTAAATTTGTTTGTTACGGTTACTTTTTACTTGATATATTCAAAAGAATGTTATAATTTAAGATATCCCCTCCCCCCTCTCTCTCTCCCTCTCTCTATCTCTCGCGTTCTAGGTGTATGAGCCAGTAGATGAAGGATCTTATATCAAAATGATTGATACAGTCAGTGGCCATGGTGGACTAATACAAGTGAGTGACCTTGGCCATCTAAAGATGCAAAATATTTAAGATTCATCTCTTATATTGTGTGTTTATACAAATTGTTATTTTTAAAGAAGCTGATGAATATTATTGTTATATTTTTTCTGGGAACCTTTGAAAGAGGTAAGACACTGATGCAGCTTAAATAGATTTTTTTTTTTTTAATAACTAGAATAAGGTTTAAACTACTTATTTTCTTGAAATATGACAAGGCATGCAGTATTTGTTTTAGTAATTAGATGGGTTTTTTGATAAAATGTGTTGTAATTTAGAGAAAGGGTTGAGAATGAAAATTCTATGCAGTTAAAAGAATACTTTTCCAATGCAAGGTGGCCATCCCCCTGCAACCTGAATTGCATTGCATCTCTCACTATTTTCATAATTAGGAGTTTCGCTTCAAATAAGCATGAAAAATTATGCTTCCCTAGAAGATTTTTTCTTGAGAATTCATGATTAATGTTGTTTTTCTTCAACTCTATTTTTTTTTTTAATACAAGATTAACTAGGTTTAGGCACTGGGCAGAGACAGAGCTGAAGCTACCTATCAATCAATAGAGATCTTTATTTTTTATAAGCCCATAAGTATGTTGGGACCTCACTGCAGACTATGCTGATCACTTGGTTTATTGCTTGGGCAGGTGAATGATATAAGTGGCTATCTTCCAGGACGGATTGTATTCTTCTTGGTATGTAATGCAATCAATGTCCTCAATAAGATGTAACTCTAAGTCTCTAGCATATTTACATATGTGAAAGATACTGACACTAAATTTTTGGCTTTCAACCCCATCCTGAATCCTGATAGCAAACAACTAGGATATCAAGAAAATTCCTTTCCCGCTAGTCCTCACTTAATCTATGTGTTCTTGGAATACCAAATTACAGTATCACACTACTAGATCAAGGCATCAAGCCTACTCTTCTTTTAGTCAAATAAATTATTGAGAAGGATTTATGACTGGGATCTAATACAACTTAAATTTTCAAGCTTTACTGATTTTGTGCAGGTAAATATGCATCTGACACCGCGCCCGATATTGCTTACAAGACATGGAGAGAGCCTAGATAATGTTAGAGGCAGAATTGGAGGTGATACTGTGATAAGGTACTGTTGTTAAACAACATACCTTACTATTTTGTTTCCTTTTGTGCTTAAAATAGATAGCTTAGATAATGTTTTAAGGTACTTCACTTCAAATTATTACTATTGTTAACCTTCTGGCTTCTGTGCATAATTTTTAATGAATATAGTTGCTAAAATATTTTCTTTGCATTTGAGAATGCAGTATTTGCTTTGAAATTTTTGCTGGTTCAAAAACAATAGTTTTTTGAATCCCCAATTACTTTCTTTAATGAAAGGAAGAATCTACTTTTTGGAGATTATTATGTTGTGGAAGCCATCTTTATGGCCATATTCCTGTCTTGTGTCAATGACACAAATTGAGTCTTGCTTCTTATGCAGCTCTTTTACAGCTAGGTATGTTGTTGCTAAGATTGGCATTTTGTGAACAAATATTTTATTCTAACAGTGAGGCTGGGGAGCTGTATGCGAAGAAGCTTGCTGTTTTTGTGGAGAAACGGCTGAAAAATGAGAGGGCTGCATCTGTATGTTATGCCAATTTGCAATAATATTAAATTATGTCTTTTCATTTGCCCTTACATAGAAACTCATTTCTATTTTTCTGCTGATTGTGCTTTTATACACTGCCTGTTAAATTTTCTAGACTTCCACAAAATCTGATCCTAAAGACAAATATGAGTACCAGTTTGCCATCTTGATATTCATGTGAACTTTCTGTTCATTTTGATCCTATTTGTTATAGGGAGGTGGAAATTACAATTTCTACCGATTTAGATTTGTAACCTGTGTCATCGGTTTTTATAGTAAATCACAAAGTTGCATTCTTAGTGAGTTTGCATAAACACAAAGGTTGAAAGTTTCATAGAGAACATTTTTTCCTGATCACTTTAGGAAACCTAGATACATTGGTTACCAACCCTTTTCTTTTTCCTATACAGCAAGTCTGCAGCAATGCAGCATGCAAGAATTTGCAATACAATAGGATTGAACCTTGAATATGGAAATTTAAAAAAAAAAGTTAATACTGGCATTTGTATCCATCCCCTTCTTTGTTTCCTTGAGCTCTGTGATTGCTTTTTAACAATGGCTTAACTTCACAAACAACTGATGAATTGAACAGGATTAAATAGGAACAATAACAGGAATGTAAATCAAATAGACATTAGCAATGATGTCAATGCTGACTCAAGTGTATGTTTCCTATAGTTTCCACTCCCTGCTCCCTATTATTTTATAACTATGGACCACTGGACTTTGTACAAACTCTTATTGTCTCTATTAAATAGTTAAAGTTGAACTATTTTGCTTTTCATGATACCCAATTCAAATGCTTCCAGCATAAAAACCGGTATTTTAAACAATTCATTGGTAGAATTTATATCAATAGTGGTTAACCATGAAGTTCAATAGATATGATGGCCTGTGCTTTCTGTTAACTTAGATATGGACCAGCACATTGCAAAGGACGATTTTGACAGCTAGCCCAATTGTTGGATTGCCTAAGGTGGTTATGCTACTAAAATTCCCTCTCTAATTCTTTTGATAAGTGTAATTGATTTAGGATTTGGAATATCTTATCATTATATTCTCTCTCTGCCTGCAGATACAATGGCGTGCCCTTGATGAAATAAATGTCGGTGTATGCGATGGCATGACCTATGAAGAAGTAAAGAAGAATATGCCTGAAGAATACAAGTATGTTATAACTCTTTATGTGAGATGCATTTTCAGGGAAAGTAACTGCAAACTTTTGGCAGCTTATTGAGGCCATCAGAAAAGTATATAAACTTATATTATAATAGAGGGGAAGTGAATCTTTGGTTCATAGATTATGAGGTACTTTGCCTGCGAGGAAGATAGTCATTGTTTGTTGTTACTAGGTGGCAGTGATGCAATCTCCATGATAGTGATATTCTTTTAATTTCTATTTTCAAATTTAAACAATTGTGAATGTATTCACTAGTGCTTTTTGAACTTCTTATATTCAGATCACGCGAGAAGGACAAACTGAGGTACAGATATCCTAGAGGAGAATCTTATCTGGATGTTATACAAAGGTGAGTGCCAGTTTTGAATTATCTGTTCCTCAGACAAAATCTAGAAACCCTCTTGTTCATTGTATTGGATATCTGCCTTTTGCAGGCTAGAGCCCGTGATTATTGAGCTGGAGCGACAAAGAGCCCCTGTTGTGGTGATAGCTCACCAGGTAATGTCATTATTCTGGGTACTATTGTGATTCCATTTTCCCTCACATCTAGTTCAGACATGAGACACTAACCTTTATATTTACAAATTTTCCACTAGGCGGTATTGAGAGCTTTATACGCATATTTTGCTGATAGACCCCTCAAAGAAATTCCAAACCTAGAGGTAATTCATCCAATCTTCATGTCTATATACCGCACACACAATCACATATATGCATGATATGTCACAACTCACAATCAAATCAAAACACGTATTATTACAATAAGTTGACCATTGTTTGCTAAGGATACATTTGTTTGAAAGGAAAATAACAATTTTTAATCCTTAAATTGTACTCGTAGTATTGATTCAGTCATTCAAAACATTTTTTTTTTGACAAGATGTAGAGTATTTGTTAGCTTTTTGCTTATACGAACGAGTTTTTTCTCCTCAAAAAGTAAACTAAAACCAAATCTATTCTGCATATATAACTTAAATTTGAATGTGTCTTGTTCTTCAACTGTTTGAGCTATTGTAAATTTCAGATACCCCTTCACACAATAATAGAGATACAAATGGGAGTCACCGGAGTCCAAGAGAAGAGATACAAACTAATGTAGTTGATTTCTATACTTTTACATATACGGCGTATGGGTACTATACAGGACTACTGGTTGTGGGTTTTTTTCTCTTTCTTTATTAATATAAAAAGTTGTGCTCTGTAATAAAAATAATCAAGTGGAGGTCCTTTTTCCGGAGGGGACTTCAGTGGATCCATGCGCAAATCCCTCCTTGAGACCTTTTTCGTCTGCTGTCCGCCCTACTGAAACCTAAATAAAATCAAAAGTCATGTTACCTACTCGAAATCATAGGACTTCCTCTGGGTACGACAGTCTATATTGTCGATGGTCCAATACGTACTTTCATGCATAGATCTGCCCTATGTATGTAGGAGTAATAATGCCTTGCCCAATAGCGCAGCTATAAGAGTATAAGATATTTCCTTCAAAATGGGGCGTCTGTGGACTGAGAGTCACACGAGTCATGAGCCCTCTTGGCCCTTTCCATCCCGTCAGAATCCAAACTTTAAAAGACGGGACCTATAAGGCTAAAACCTCTTTATTACAAGCTTGACGGGAGCAGTACTCTGTCGTTTGTAACTGTGATGGTGTGATATTCTTCTTTCCCAGTTTCACGTTGGTCCCATGATGTTTGTTAATTGTTACCCCAGAATAGAAATGAGTAAATTTCACTTTAAACCCCACATTTTGATATATGTATAGTGGTATTTAGTAATATTTTTATCAAAATTGATCAAGTTCAAAACATTATTTGTAAACATCGAATAAGATTTTTGTTAAATAACTAAAATTAGTATTGTCAAGAATCTAAGTAAAAACTCGTGTAATAGAGATGCTCTAAGCAACCAAACCCCTCAACATCTATTAATATCCCGGCCTCTTTTGTAGCTTGTGGACTAATTGTGTGGTTCATGAATAATTACCCTCCTATTACACTACAAATTACAAACCATTATTATAAGGTCCTTATGCTACAATTAGACTGTCCAGCAATTATTAAATACAACACCTAATAAAAAGCTTTTTAAAGTAATGCCAAAAGTAATATAATGTATAATCTACTTCATTTGTTTAGTTTTTTTTTTTTTAAGGTTTTTTCAAACCATGTGGGAGAGAGAAACAAGGGGAAAAAAAAAAAAAAAAAAAAAAAAAAAGAAACTGTCATGAGCTCGATTTGGCGCATCTGGTGTGCAACACGCGCACAAGAATAAGGCTTTGTTTAAATTTATTTTTTTGGTGAACCCCACAAAACACCACTCCTTACATGAAGACATGAATTTTCTCTTTTTTATGATATCTCTCCTCGACCTCATGTTTAGCCTCACAAAAAATCATATAAAAATCACAAATGGCAGCTACTCCTAAAAACGAAAAGAAAATAACTGTAATAGTTATCTAGCTTTTAGTGCAAACCAAACTATAATTATTATAATTATTATGATTAATAATTATTGGCATTATTTTAGTACAAACAGTACAGTAATAGAGTATAGGCAGCAGCACTATGGCTGCCGTCGCCTTCACGAGACCTTTATTTCAGCTCCAGTTGTCGCCTTTTGTTTGTCACGTGCACCAGTTTACTTACTCCCCTACAAACTCCAAAATCATTAGAGGAATTAAATTAAATCCCGAGATATATTTTAATAAAATTTAATTTCATATCATGTATTTGATAAGAATTAAGTTCTATATCTTGCAACGACCTTAAAAGAGTTGCAAAGTTAAGCGTTAATAGAAAAAATGAGATACAAAAATTATTAAGAATAAAAACTGAAATGAAATAAGAACATAAAATTTAAGTATTTAATGTGCTTAATATTCACGAGAGTTGAACAATTCTTTTATAAATTGTGATAATACATTCCGGTAACATGCATCATATTTGCTTAATCATGCTCTAATACATGTCATCTTCCAGTAACTATACATAACATATTGTATCAACTTATATGTATTATTGATCGATCAGTTAAATTGTACTATATATCCTAGCTTCAAACTCAAAAAAAAAAAATGGCAAAATCCTTATTATTATTATTATTATTATTATTATTATTATTATTATTATTATTATTATTATTATTATTATTATTATATTGCATATTTGCATTATGTCATAATCATATAGAACATGAGGATTTAGTTGAGTAGAAGGGTATCATACATTCTTAACTAAATGTCAATTGTTCGATTATTGACTTTGAATATAAAGCAATCTTAAATTTTCCGGTCAGCTATCATATCTAAAGAGGTGCCTACAATTCAGTCCGGAGATTAGTCACTGTATTAAACACACACACGTCATAATCCTATAGTAATTCAGTCCAGTTTCGATCAAGTTGTTTAGTTGAACTCGTGAGAATACAAATAAACCCAACAAACATCTCTTTTTCCTTAACTATATTTCGTTATCAGCATTAACGTTAACTAGCAAACACACGCAATCTATCACGATCCCCCACTATATAAACTCGACCCATTTTCAACGCTCAACGCCTTCACTTTCACGTCAACGTTATCCCCATTTTAACTATTTTTTTTTTAATAAATCAAATTATTAATATATGTACATTTTTTTCTTCTCGATTTAACCATTCAACGACCAACGTACGACCGTTATATTTATCGCTCATTACCGCTATTTTGTATCATTCATACCTTGCGAGACACTCTGCGAGCTGAGCTCGTTTATAAAAGAGTTTTTAGTGGTAATTAACGATGCATTTTTCAGTATCTTCTCCGCTACCGTCGCCGGTGACCGGAGATATTTCACGGGAGGATTCCGGCGACACAGTTAAGAGCATATTCCATAGTATATTGTCTTACAACGATAACGTCATGCTGGCCGCCGTGATTTCGTTGCTTCTTGTTATTCTCTTTGTTCTTCTTCTCCACGTCTATGCCAGGTGGTTCTTGACTCAGTCTCGCCGCCGCGGCGGCTCCGTTGAGGTGCCTCGCCGGCGGTTTCAGTCGTTCCGCGTTGACTCTACGTTTCCCGATTCTCCGGAGAAGAAGGGCCTGGAGAAATCGGCCATTTCGGAAATTCCGAGTTTTGTGTACATGGGGAAGGGCGGCGATGACGGCGGCGACGGCGAGGGGAGTGGGATGGAGTGTAGTATTTGTTTGAGTTCGTTTGAGAATGGAGACGTGGGGAGGAAGTTACCGAAATGCGGCCATGCATTTCATGCAGAGTGTATAGAGATGTGGCTGTTTTCCCACTCTTCCTGCCCGTTTTGTCGGGCTCCGGTGGTGTGCGGACACGGCGGCGCCGCCGCCACTACGAGTCTGGGATTCAATTCTGCGGTTCCGGGTGGCGGCGGCGGAGGAGGAGGAGGGAGGAGTAGTGGGAATACGACGTCGTTACAGATCGTCGTTGAATCTGTTCCAAAACAAGACAGGCCTGAAAATGGAGATGCGGCGGCGGCGGAGGTGGAGGGTAATTCGTTACCAGTAAGTACTTTGTTTTCTTCGCCGCCGTCGTCATCTGCCGGTGGATTAGCTTAAAGAAATTAATTAATGAATTAATACGCCTTGTTGTACTTAAGTAATTAATTATGAGAATCGATTATCTGAGAGAGGCTGTATGTGTACATTTTGTATAGATCCAATGTAAAGAATTTTAATTTATCTAAAAATATATAAAATACAATTTTCTTTGTGGGATGCATGTGGTGCTTCTTTATTCTACCCAACTCACTTCCAAAAACTCACCTCATTATATATAAAACATTACTCTAATTTCTAATTACTTAATACTCCATAGTATAATGTACTAATGCAAAAATCTAAAAATAATATAAAAAATTTATAACAAAGAATACAGATTAGCACTATTCATGTATTTTTTTTTTTTTTTTTAATATTGTGCTACAAATATTATACTATAAATTTAATCATGCAAATTTACTTCTATATCAAATAGTATCATAATTATAGAGTTAAGTCTAATTTTTATCTTAGATTTATATGTGACAGTCAACTTTTAGTCATTTTTTATTAGAACATCCTCATTTGGTCCTAATATTATTGTGGAGTAAATACCCAAAATGGTCCCTCGACTATAGCTAAATTCACAAATTGGTCATCAACTTTCAATTTCAACCAATTAAGTCCTTAATTTTGTAATTTTGACACGATTTGGTCCATCATCTATTTGACCATTTGTTGACCGCGATCTTTGAGGATATATATGTAGTTTCACGTGCAAAGCTCAAGAGAACGCTCTTGGAGGTGACATCGTTGTTTCGGAGGGGGAAGTGCTTCTCCGCTTGCTGCTTGGGGATCACGAGCCGGTTCAGCTTAGAGAACGCTCTTAGAGGTGACAGCCCGTTTCGGAGGGGGAAGTGCTTCTCCGCTTGCTGCTTCGGGATCCCGAGCTGGTTCAGCTTGCCTACATCGCTTGGAGTCACGGCTTTCTCGAAGAGCCACTCCAGGGACTTCGGCGATCTATCTATCAAAAGCTATAATCTCTCCGGCATGGGGTGCAGCGCCGGCAGTGGATTCAAATGTAACAGTGCGGTCTAGAAATGCAACCGGAACCTTTAAAAACCAACGGTGGACCATGAAATTAAATATATATCCTAAAAAAGCACAGTCAACAAACGGTCAAATAGACAAAGGACCAAATTGTGTTAAAATTGCAAAGTTAAGGACGTAATTGGTTGAAATTAAAAGTCGAGGACCAATTTGTGAATTTAGCTATAGTCGAGGGACCATTTTGGGTATTTACTCTATTATTGTGTCATGAACATTTTATATTGTTAAATACAAAGATATTCTGATTTTTTAATACAAAATAGGTTGACCCGTTATAATTTTTATGTTTGTTTTATAAACAAAATTCATAATTGAAATCAAAATGTCATTGTATTTAACGATATTTAAATATTTTTGTTGATAAAGGACAAAAAATGGCCATGTAACAATTGATGTAGTATATACGGTGCGTACTATCTACGGAATACTATTCCAGGTCGGTTCCGGGTTCGGATCCTAAGCCTGGTCTGCTTGTTGGTTTAGTGACTATAGCCTGGTCTGCGGTATACGTAATAGTGGGTCAAAGGTATCCGAACTAGTAGCTATAGGTGTAGAAATAGAAGTCTCCCCATCCATAAATAAATGCGGTATTTATAGAGAATGCGGGGGACAGATCCCGGGCTGGCGGCATGCGTGGCACATGGAGGCCATACACGTATTTAGACGGCGGCCCAAGGGATTCA